ACTCTTAGGCATTCTGCTACTTCCATGCTTGTCAAATCTGCTTTGAAGCAGTTAAATAATGAAGGATATTAAACACTGGTCTCCGTTCCAAACTCACTCTTTAATCTTTGCGAATTTGAAATTAGAAGGAAAGGAAAAGATCTGCTATCCCTGAATTATGTTTTACCAAAGGAACGAAAAATTCTATACACTTCAGCATAAATCAAATAGAAGGAATTTTATCTTAATAAAATAATATCTCGTAGCTTCTACCTGGCTCCCCAATCACTGGTTAATAACCTTTTGACAGTTTTTAGCCTTCTGCTTATATTTGTCCACTTATATTTGTTCACGATGGAGATTATTTTAATTGTCCTTCGGGGCGGCACATCCAAAGCCACCTTTTGGCGGAATACTTTTGAATTATACAGCCTCTTGGCTGCAAGATCTGCGCCCCTCAAAGGGAGGACTTGCTGGGGGGGGGCGGAGGGCCAAGCCAAATCCCCTCTGGCGTCTCGTCTGGGACGAAGGGCGTTTTGCTCAGGGTTGCTCAAGAATATGTCTTCTAGGAAAAGGCTGTTTAAAATGAGCGTGTGTTATTCCTTTCTGTCACTCGGTCACCCTACTTCCAGAGTAGCTGAAGTGCGTTCTGCAAGTACGCTCACACAGGACCAAACTTTTAGAAGAACCTGAAAAATGTATCACTACACTTCAGATTCAATTAAGTTTCCTGGCAACGGATCAATGAACTCTGCTTTTACTAGGAATGAAGATGTTCATGTTTTGAGAAGCTAGAATCGTATTTTCCTGAATTTTTAAAATGATTATTCTTCACCCATTCCAGATGGATGCTTTATTGCTTGCCAATGGGTTGCAGATGACCACCTCTTCAACCAAGTTGGTTAACTGCTTATGAAATCTACATTGGCTCATTAAAGCTTAAATATTGGAACAAATTTCTGCTGGGACAGTCCACAGATGTCTTTGCAGTAATTACGAAACTAGTCAATTGTCACCTCTATAAACAAACCGGCTTGACAACAGCAGGCGAAAGCAGACGACACATATAGTCATAATTGGACCAAAAGTATGTACAAAACTGTCTTTTAAAAGTGTCTTTTTTTTTTTTTGGAGGAAGATTAGCCCTCAGCTAACTACTGCCAGTCCTCTTTTTTGCTGAGGAAGCCTGGCCCTGAGCTAATATCCGTGTCCATCTTCCTCTACTTTATATGTGGGACGCCTACCACAGCATGGCGTGCCAAGCGGTGCCATGTCTGCACCCAGGATCCTAACCCGAGAACCCCGGGCTACCAAGAAGCGGAATGTGCGAATCTAACCGCTGCGCCACCGGCCGGCCCTAAAGGGGTCTTTTAAAATATATGCTGGAGGATACAATCTAGAACTGATTGATTTTACCCTAAGAAAAAGATGGTTACGTTAAATGTGTTAAGCTGTGGAAATTAACCCAGCGAGTGCGCCAAGTGAAACTACAAAATGCCCTTTGGGTTTCTCTGCGGAGTCTTCGGGAGGCAGAGAACCAGTTGTCCTAACACTATAAGGAAAAGTGGCACCAAGAAGGAAGGGGGTGACGTTGTGTTTGTGTGTGAGTTTTGAACTGAGTCAACTTTGGCTCTGTCTCTGTAGCAGGGAAACCTCGAGCAAACCTGTGCCTTTAAGACTCAGTTGCTATCTAAACACGAGTAAACAGAGCGGACCATTAGCGGGCGCCGGGCGCGGAGGCGGAGCCAAGGCGCAGAAGGCCAGGCTCCGCCGCGGGACGCCCGCCCGAAGGGGAGGCGGGGCCGCTACTAAAGCCCTGGACTCCCGGCGGCGAGCAGCCTGGGGAGGGACGCGGGCGGGGACAGAGCTCGGCGCGCTCGCTGCTGGAGGGTGATGGCCCTGCGAGGCTGCAGGCTCCGACCTCACCCGGAGTCGGCGGCCAGAGTCTTGCGGAGGCGTGGGGTCCCGGGCGATCGCTGAGCGCAGGCTGCAAGCACTGCGGGTCGTTACACAATCCACGTCCACAGACTCGGACGAAGGCTCTGGTTTTGCTCCTCGTCGTCCTCCAGATCATGTCCGCAGCTCCCGGGACTCCGCGCGGAAAAAGAAGTTTGCCCGGCGTGGATCCAATGACCTTTCCAAGCTGTGCGCCTCACTGCCTGGACCGGGTCTGAGAGGCGCTGCCCAGGCGGACCTTTCCGCAGGAGGTGAGTGTCCGCTCTGGGAAGGGGCTGCAGCCGCCCTAAGGAAGGAGGGGTGCAGGGGTTACAGGGGGCGCTCAGATTCTCGATCCAGCGTGCCACAAGTTCAGAAATAGTGAAAAGAAATCGTAGGGATGCAATCCCGAGGCATTGTGTTTCTCACTGTATCGGATCCCAGGCACGCAAGTCTCAGCTAACCGCCCAACGACACACGCTTTTATGTACTGTTTTTAGTTTTGTTTCGCAACATTTAATCTAAGCATTCAGCTGATCGACGGACGCTGAAATAAAACTCCACAAACCCCATTGTGTTTCGGACCCTGCCATAGAATTCCTGGTCCCCCAGTCCGGGGGCAGCCGCGGCAGCGCAGTGCGGACGGGCCGGGACGCACAGTGCTTGCCAAGCCAGCGCGTTTCAAGAGGGAAATAATAGTTCAATCCTAGGTAACTCTCCAACTTTGTGCAGGCCTTTTGATTTTCCTCCCACCCTCCAGTCCTGGAGAAGAGGGCAAAAGGCAAATTCCCACAGGGTTTAAACCCTTGGACTCCCGAGAAATAGCGACAGAGAAAGGAATTGCGGTTGTAGGAACAAGGAGGGAGAAGAAGGTGTTTGTGGAGGGAGCGCTGGATCTGTTTCCCTACCTGTTAGCAGAGAACAAAAGAGGGCTGGCCTTTCCCGGAGCTTAACGGCGCAGACAGCTACTTTCTCTGCTAAACAAACTGCAGTCCCGAGCAGAACAAAAAAATTACTCACGCTGGGGGAGCGAGGGAGCAGAAAGAAACAGAACCCAGATTATGCAGAAGGCATCTTAATTTAATTAACTCCTTGGGAAGGCAGAGGCGCTGCGAAGGGGCAGGAACTTAGCGGCGGTTTTCTCTGTTCACCTGATCCAGTCTGGCCATTTTCATTTGTTTTTAAAAATGATCTCCTTAGATCCACTTGGACTATTGCTCTCTGATTTATGTAAAATTCCACTGTGGCTTGGGCTGAAATTCAGCGAGCATATCGATCCATCCGTCATTTCTCTCAGACACCAGCACAGGTTTTAGCAGATGATCCCTGACTGTATATTATTTTTAGATAATTCAGTGTAATAATACCATTACTAAAGAGCCAAATTCTTTATCAAATTACCACGTAACTTTTTTCTCCAATGTTTTGAAATCTTCACTGAACTGAAATTAGTATGTACACATCTCACTTCTTGACAGCCAGTGAACTAAATTTTACGAAACTTCTGTGCATGCCTAGAAATTCCTGTTGAAGAAGACTGATGAAAGAAAACTAGTTTCTGCTCCACTGATATATTTATGTCTTTTCATTGGTTTAAGTTTCTTTCCTTGCAAAATTAAAAGTAACCAATGGTCCGAAATGGGATGGTGGAGAAATGACAGCAGATGGTGATGGCTCTTACTGCCTGCAACTGAGTATAGGAACTACATGCTCAACTCTAGTCAAAACGAAAGTACTTTAGATCTCTGCATTGACTTAAGATATCTTTTGACACATATCTCCAGCAACTCAGTGGGAGAGTGGAAATCTAAACTCCCTTATTATTTATGGCAAAAGTGTTTGGTGGGTATTTAGTGTTGTTCTGTTTGTAAAAGGGTTTCAGAAGTTACCAGTGGTTTGCTTTTCCTCTGTGAAGAAACTATCTGTCCTGCAAATTAACACAAATATATGCTATGAAATAGCACTTCTGTGCCACCATGAAGCTGAATTATAATAGAGTGGCTAATTTTTGTGTTATAAATCTTTGGGAGAAAAGGGAAGGAAGATGGCACTCAACTTGCTGCTGGAAGAATTAATATGTAACCTTTATGGCAGAGTTCACTTTGTGCATTTGGAATCAAAATCACAGGTCATGGTATTCCTTCAATTGACAACACCCCCCACACACACCCACACCCACACCCACACCACTTGGTGGGAGTTGTACTTTGCCTCCTGTATTTATTTCTAAGAAATCTAGTCTGGGAATACACCCAAATAGTAATTTCAGTTTCCTCTCTATGGGGGAGGCTGCTTCTTAACACTAGGGGAAAAAGAATATTTTGAGTCTCTGTAAAAGCCTCATTATGCAAAAAGAAGGAAATAAAGGTGTAATTTATTATTCTCAATGGAAGAGGAAATAATCAAATAGATTACCAGGGATGTTAGTAGAATCCTTTTTTGGTCCTCTTTAGCAGAGGGCTTGTTGCCACTGAACAAAAATGAATCGTGATTTGTGGTGGGAAAGTTTATTACTAATGGAGGTTTACAGTCTCGGTTGAATGGTCTAAGACCCTCTGACTCTTACACACCTCTCATTAACTCCCGGCCTGAACTCCCAGACCGCATACCACCAGGCAGAAGCGGTTCATTAATAAATCCCTGTCTCCGAGCCTTTCCTAACAGAGGGGGAGGGAGGGAAGGTGTGGGCCTCACGGAGGCAGCCAGATTCTGCCTTGCCAGAGCGCTGTGTCATTAACGCAGGCCCTTAAGTCTACCCTCAGATGGAGCCACAGGCGACACTTCACAACACCCTAGAGAAGAAAATTCAGGCTCAGAAAAGGGTGGGTGGGGAGGGAAGGCTGGACAAACTCCCACCTTCCTGCTGTGTTCAAAAGCCAGGCTTAAAGGTTGATGGCTCAGGCTGGCCTGTCTGCCCCTCTCCAGGGAAAGCGCTTAGCTGTGAGTCTCGCACCTGGAGGAGCCGCCCTCAGAGAGAGGGAAGGCCCAGGCCCGCCGAGCTGGCAGAACCCGCTGCTGAAAAGGGCTAGCAGACAGAGAAGGTGGGCCCACTCAGAATGCAGGTGAGGTGCCCTGGGGAGCCTGAGTCTGAAAGCAGACCCCTGTGTTGCCACTGGGGGCGCGGGGAGAGGAGAGTGCGTGAGCCCTGCTTAGGCCCAGGCCGCAGACCCCGCGCCGGGCTTCCCAGTGGCAGGAGCGCCGCCGCACACACCTCCAGGCAGATAAACAAGCTTCCTCCAGGCCGGCTGGGCCGCACTGTACCCGGCCCGCTGCGGTTCCGCTGCTGCTCCTTCCCTTTCTCTCCCCAGGGAGCCCTCTCTTCTCTCCTTTCCTGTCTTCTCTAGTCCTGGGGCCTCCCCAGTGTAGAAGCCGCTCCTGGTGCCAGGTCAGGAAGCCTCTCGGGCCTCCGGAGAGCTTGGCACTCAGTTTGGGAGAAGGGGTTCTGGCCTCATGGACGTTCTCCGCTCACTCCCCCCCCCCCACCCCTCCGGCAGCCTGAACCATCTGGAAGGGATCTTGGTGGGGGGTAGGAGGGGATGGCCCCTGGGAAGGAGGAGGGGGCGATTCCAGGCCGAACCCGGCCCCCGAGGTGTCACTTTTCTTTCCTGCGGCCCGTCACCGCTGATAAATGGCACTGGGGCAGAGGAAGGAAAAAGAAAACCTCCGAGGTCAGCGCGGGGCGAGGCGGGTCCCTCCGAGGGCCCTCGGCCCAGGAGCACGAAGCGCGCCCGGCTGCGCTCAGGCACCCCCGGCATGGCCAGGGTAAACGCGGGAAAGGCGGCCGCAGGGCAGGGCAGCCAGCTCGGGACGCAGCGTGAGGAGCCGCCGCACAGGGGCTGAGCCCGGCCCTCAAGCCCCGGACCCACGCCCCGTCATTCCGCGGGGAGCTCTGAGGCGCCGCGGCTGTAGAAGCGCGGTCCCCGGCCTGCGGGTGTTGGCGTCGTGGGCTGCAGCGGTTGGTCGAGCTTCGCCGGACAGGGTGTGGGTGGGTCGGCTGGACTGGGTGCTGTCTGTACCGGAACCCCCTGCTCGGGTCTTTCTCCCCAGGCCGGGTCTTCCGCTCCGTGCGTGCCCGGAATCCGACCTTTCCGTGGGCGCCCAGAGGAGCCGCAGGGGCGCCCCGCTCGCCAGGGGACTACTTCCTGCCCTGCCTGACACCCTGGCCCCGGAGCCGATCTCGGCGAGGACTCATTGGGCGGGCGCTACGCAGTTTCCTCACCATTCCTTTTGGGGACCCCGGAGCAGGGTAGGGAGGAGGACTTAGAAGGAAGGTGTGGTAACCCTGCGCCGGCGCCAAGGGGCGGACCAGGCCGGCTTGGGAATAGTCACGACTCTCCCTCTCTCCCCCTGCCATTTTTAGGGTTCTCTCTGCGTGCTGTTGTCTCTTTGGGTTTTCGCCGGAGCCCCACGCCCACCCGCCTCTGAGTCCTGGAAGAAAGGGGCGGCTCCCTTCGCCCCCCAGCGCCCCGGAAAATGGGGAGCAAGGCTCTGCCAGCGCCCATCCCGCTCCACCCGTCGCTGCAGCTCACCAATTACTCCTTCCTACAGGCCGTGAACACCTTCCCTGCCGCAGTGGACCACCTGCAGGGCCTGTACGGTCTCAGCGCCGTGCAGACCATGCACATGAACCACTGGACGCTGGGGTACCCCAACGTGCACGAGATCACCCGGTCCACCATCACCGAGATGGCGGCGGCGCAGGGCCTCGTAGACGCGCGCTTCCCTTTCCCGGCTCTGCCCTTTACCACCCACCTCTTCCACCCCAAGCAGGGAGCCATTGCCCACGTCATCCCAGCCCTGCACAAGGACCGGCCGCGTTTTGACTTTGCCAACTTGGCCGTGGCCGCCACGCAAGAAGACCCCCCTAAGATGGGAGACCTGACCAAGCTGAGCCCGGGGCTGGGTAGCCCCATCTCGGGCCTCAGTAAATTGACTCCGGACAGAAAGCCCTCCCGAGGGAGGTTGCCCTCCAAAACGAAAAAAGAGTTTATCTGCAAGTTTTGCGGCAGACACTTTACCAAATCCTACAACTTACTCATCCACGAGAGGACCCACACGGACGAGAGGCCATACACGTGTGACATCTGCCACAAGGCCTTCCGGAGGCAAGATCATCTGCGGGATCACAGGTGAGGTGGAGAAAGAGGTTGGCCGGAGAAAGGAAGGAGAATTTCTCCAGAATACTGAGTCCTGATAGACATTCCAAGTGTCGCTAAAATCCCCTCTGAACTAGCATATACCCCCAAAGGCCCTCCGAGCCAGCAACAACTAACCCCCAATATTTACCTTTCTACTCAACCTGCCCCCGCTGCGTTCTTGTTTGGGACGCAGGAAGGCCTTTCCCCATCCTTAAGCAGTTAAAATCTGAGTTGGCCTCGGTCCTGGAATCTGTTTCCCAGTTTCCTCCGGGTTGCCGTTGCGGGGTGGCGCAGGTAAAGCCGAGGGACCCCGAAGACCTTCCCACTGCGGTCCCGGTCCTGGCTGCGCTCAGACCGTTTCTGGAAATCTACACCGGCCATCTGCGCCGCGTTCCTTCCGTTCCCCACCACCCCATCCCCAGGTGCGCCCCAGAGCCTGCCATGGCAACCCTTGTTTTAAAGTTATTTGCGTGGGTCTTGAGATCACTGAATTTAGAAGCAACTTCCCGCCTCCCCTCCATGACCTTAAACTCTGCATTAATAAACGACCATTGAAAAAATACTGTAGCGTAAGTGTTTTCACCCGGTAAAAACTTCCCAGGAGTGGGGGTGGGGGTATGTTCTCTCCGGACTCTACTTGCTGTTCCCCCGGGGGGACTTCTGTACCGATCCTCCGCGGCTGTTAAGGGATTCGCTAAAATCAGTCCCCCTAAACTCAGCCTTGCCTTACATCCTGATTTGGCCAGTTTAAATCCCAGAGAAAACCTTAGAGACCAGGAAGGGCTCGTTCGGAGCGATTTCGAGCTCCAGAGTACGCCGCAGAGGGCGATCAAGTGTAGACACAGCCGGCGTCCGGTGAATGTTTTGAAGAGTCAGTTACTTGAGGTTAACCAGAAACAGAATTATACAGCGAAAAAAATGCAGTCTAAAATCATAAATAATGGGAATCCTGTTTCTTTTGTCCTTTCACGACTTCATTTTGAGTAATTGTCAAGAGAAACTCCTCACCGTGGTTTTAAAGCTATTTCAATGAAGCCTTCTACTGATTTTCAGGTATATCCATTCCAAAGAGAAACCCTTCAAATGTCAGGAGTGTGGGAAAGGATTTTGTCAGTCTAGAACTCTCGCAGTTCACAAAACTTTACATATGCAGGTAAGTTTGTTTTCTTGTTTAAAAACAGTTACTGGTTCTGTTTTATCATTTTTGCTCTACAAAAGGTGTTCAATGGCAGGGTCTTTCTCTTAAAAGGCTCCATTTAGACGTTTTCTAGGTGGGGAAAGCAGCTCTCTTGAGTTTTTGTCATACATAAAATTAATCTTATTTAACATAAACATTTTAATATTTTTCTTAAAGAACAGGCCACTCTCTTTATTCTAAATCCTAATTTTAGAATTATTATTTTTTTCACCTGCCCTGCATTTAAAGCTTTCATGTTTGGGAGGAAATAAAGGTAATTTTGATAATAGAGGCATGGTGAAATCCCATACGATCTCTCTCCCAGGGGCCTCATAATTTGTAGTTTTCAGAACATTGAGGAATAGTTTAATTTTCCAGCAAAGAGGAGCCTTATTACCCGGGAGAATGTCGTTCCTTAAGAGAGGATTAGAGTTTTTCCTTCCTCCTTTTCCTGCCTGTGACATGGTGATGAAATGTAAAGAGCTGGAAATCACAAAGCCCACCACAGTGGCCACCGGCAGCTATCGGGGTAATGGGGCCTCTGTGTGTGTCTGCGCGTGTGTTTTCGTGATTGGAGGACTGGCAGCACAGATTTGTTCCTGCAAGTCCTCTTTTGTTGTCGTGCTGATATTATGTTAACGCTTGTGATACCGATAAGACAGAAACTATTGAGAAAGGTGCAGTGGTGTGAAGGATTAATCCTTTGCTTGCTTCACATCTGAACAGGAATCTCCACACAAATGTCCCACATGTGGAAGAACCTTTAATCAGAGAAGTAATCTGAAAACTCACCTTCTCACCCATACAGACATCAAGCCCTACAGCTGCGAGCAGTGCGGCAAAGTGTTCAGGCGAAACTGTGATCTGCGGCGGCACAGCCTGACTCACACTCCGCGGCAGGACTTCTAGAGAAGCCCAGGATCTGTCCCGTGCCGCCGCTGCTCCCCTCCCCAGACACCTCTCCTCGCCTGCCCCCGCCCCCACCGGGGGTTCCACCCCCAATCCTTCACTGACCCCAGCGCTTCCCCTGCTGCAGCCGCACCTGCAGCTGCAGGGAGTTAATTCTTCCCAAGGACTGGGGACTGTAGAAAGCCACACAGTACATCCCTTCACCAAGAGCATATGCTAGTTTCTTGTAGATATTCACAGCTCATTTTAGAGCTCTGTACATAGTGTCGTGGGTCTTTGTTTTGTTTTCGTATCTTGTTGGATGCACCTAGATATGGAAAATGGAAGCCAAATTTATTTTTAAAGACTGTATTTTCAAAATAAAACTTTTTCTTGTCTGTTTCAACACTTCCACAAAAGTGTCTTGCTATTTAACTTCTATTTTTCATCTGGATCCTGGAAGAGTGGGATGCCTCTAAAATATTTGATATGGAAGGGAATTCTTTATCCCTAGGGTATCAAAATAAGACTTCTCAGTTTTTTTGAATTGGATGATTGTACTGTCTTTTTGTTTTTCTAAGATATTAAAATTGATACCCCTGAGGCTTTACCCCCTTTTGTTTATTATAGTTCCTTGTGTGTTATTCCTTCAGATAAAAGCAATATAATAATCATTATTAATAACATGCAACTCCAGTACTGATCCACTTGAAAGCACAAGGTGGGAGGAAACATAAGAAAAAAGAAGAGAAGAGAACTTCTCACCACTTCATTTTTTAAAAGTCCTTGACCCATTGTCAAAGTTTATGATGGGCAACTTCTCATACCATTAGACTTTGAACACTATGATTTATCACTATAGACAGGGATTTTATCCTGCCTTCAGGGGAAAAGTCTAAAATCCTCCTAGAACAGTGCAGGAAGGTCCAATCTTCGGAAGATGGGACACAAGAGGAGAAAGGTGAAACTGCTTAGCTCTGTTTGCACAAAATATTTCTTTCCAAGGGTGGAGATCCTTTCTTCTAGAAGGTCAGATTTCTCTGCAAAGAAAATTGAGTTAGGTCACTAGCCAGGTTTCCGTCACTGGTTGGCCTTTTGTCCCTAGGAAAATGCCAGAAGTATAGGTTACTCTGTGTACAGAGCTCATGGCAAATATGTTGTCACCTTCTGAGGCATTTCTACCTTTCCCAAGTGGTTCCTGGGGAATATGACACTAGTGTAATGACAACCCTGTGTAGGATTTGGGTGGAAAGCTTTGGATACAGATAAACAGTAGTACTCTGCAGATCCTGGAAGGGAAATAATTGAAGTTAAAGAGGGAACATCAGAGGAACCTGTGGCCCAGTAGCCCAGGAGATTCTCACAAACTTTAATACTGAACAACAGGGTGAATTAGGTATTGTCAGATTTTTTTCTTTTGTATACTTGTGTGGGGATGGTGTGCTTCATCTTCAAGGTGATACCAGGCAACATGTCCTATGTTTGTACCTTAGAATCCTTCAGAAGGTTAGGTAGAGATTTGAGGTCTAGATTAGAAATTTTTCACCAGTGCATGTTCAATACAATTTATGAGGAAGTTCCAAAAAGTGTTCCAGACTCACTGCTTACTCTGTTCTCAGGGCAGCTGGCTGGAAGTCTCTTCTGCTTCTCACGAGAGATCAATTCTCTCCAGCAAAATGTCCACTAACCAAGCCCGTGTGTCCAATGCTCACACAAATGCATTTCCCACCATGGATGGGCCCAAAGGTTTCACAGAGGAGAGGGGGCAGGGGTGGAGTGCGGGGGTGCATATGTGTATGGTATTTAGAGGAACAAAACTGTTGTTTTCTTTTGCTTGTACAGAATTAACTCAGTGACCTCCCTACCCCTACTCCCTCAAGATCCTGCCCACATTGGCACAGAAGATTTGAATACTTTAGGGCAGGGTTACACATTGACTGTCCCTAGAGCTCCCCTAATGCTGCAGGCTTTTTCCATGTAGTGAGTCTTGCTGCCCCACCCATCCCAACAGACTACAAGTGTCACAGTTCCATCGCACAGGGTTGAGTCAGATTATCAAAGAATGACCCTTGCTCGCTATCAAGCTCAGGCATATCCTTGAGGTCCCTGTCACAGGGATATATAAAAGGAAATAACCAGAACACTGTTTCTCTCCATTTATTTTAGTTGAAAAAATAGCAATAGGAAGCAAATGAGGAAAAACAGAAAAGAAAATGGAGAAAGCAGTTCGTCTTCCCACATACACACTATTTCAAAAGTTAAGGTTAATTTATTTATAATTTATTTATGTAGTCATTGATTTAATAAATGCTTATTATGTGCTTTTCATGTGCCAAGCCCCGTGCTAGGTTCCAATGATTTTCATGATCAGTTTCTGTCTTTCATATCTAGTGGCACATTTTTGGAATCTTGACTACGTAGATAATTTAAAAATCTATGATAGGGCTTAATTTAACAGCTCCCCTCAATCTGGACTCTTAAATCCAGTGTCCACGTAGAATCAGAAAGGATCTAGCCTCAGAGTAGACTCTTTCCACGCTCTTCATGCTCTCAGGTGAACTTTCATATAGTGGGTTCCTCTCCAAATTATGAGTTTTGTTTTTCTTCTTTTTTAGAATGTCCAAGTATGCAGGAAGTGAGTCTGACATGAGACAAACTTATGAGACATCATAGGGAAAATGATATCTTGTATCTTATGAAATTGATCTGCTGGGTTTCGTTTTTTGTTTTTTTGGTTTAGAGAAGAGTCATTATTTGAGTTTTAGATTAGCCTGTGTTTTCCTTACACCCTCTACCATAGTCAACTCATGAATCAATACTCCTGGCCAGAGACCAGGAGTGGGAAGTATCACGAGTCATAACCACATTACTGAAGAACTTCACAAACAACAGTTAAGGATTGAGCTGTGACTTTAATCTCATTTTGTAATCAATGTGTGGGATCTTAAAAATAATTTCTAAAAATGAATTTCACTGTAATCAATTGTTAAGGTAAATTATGAATGTGTGTTAGGTGCACCTTTTGATACTAATATTGAAATGTAGGTTATTGTAGTACACAAGCTTTATAGTTGTAGTAATTAAAATTGCTATTTTGCACAGGTATCTCCTCTCGTACATAAGGAAACTTTCCAAAATTTGACTCTAAGACAACTAAATATTTAAAAGGTAAACAAATCTAAAATCTCAAATTATAAATAGGCCTAACTACTACTAGCGATGAAATCAGAGGCAGTTATTGAGAGTTTCTCCTACTTTTCATTTACCAGATGTTAGCATAGACATTTGAAACTCTTAACTTAATTCCTGTTCAATCAGGCACCCTCGCCCTGGTTTTCATTCTGGAGGGGCAACCTATCTCTGGAAAGCATTGGAGAAACATGAGTTCTTGAATATTGTCAACATGATAGACTCGATACCTGTGGATTAAACACAGTATAGAATCTACGTATGAAATTTTAACACAAGGAGGATATCACCATGGCATAAGGGGCTGCCTTTCTTACTACCAAAGTAATTTTAAAATTACTGTAATACAGAAAGAGAAAAAGTTGACAAAACCATCTAACACACTGTAAACAGGAATGGCTTTTGTTTTTAGGTGGACTATTTGTGCTCACCTTTATTAGTGTGTTATATTGAGATTGTATTTCACAATTTTTCATTCTGAAATGTAACTTGCCACTGATAACCACCTCTGCTGACAGCAATGAGCAATAAAGGGAGTGGAGATTCAGAATGATTCAGCTTTGATGACCTGAGATAGTTCAAGTTCATTCCTGTTTCTTTTCTTTGTTGCTTGTTCCCCTGCCCCCCAAAAGAAATTACATTATTATCTAAGCTGCGGTAACTTTTTTCTTGAAACTATCCAAGGCAAAAAATAGTGATAGTGAAAAACTGTAAGTAACACAAATAGCCTAAAAGAGGAAAATTGTTAGGTATATTATAATGCTGTATCTGTTAGATGCTTTCTACTGCAATAAAGAGAAAACCTGACTAAAAGGGGCTTAAACAATAGGGAATTTATTTTCTAACATAACAAGAAGTCTCAAGGTAGAGCCAGGGATGTGTAACTAACTGGAGTGATAAAATCATCCACAGCCCAGTTCTTCCTACTTTCCTCTTTCATCTTCAGTGTGTAGACTGGCTGCCTTCATGGCCACAAAATGGCTGCAACAGCTCCAACCATCAGCTCTAGTGCTTCCTTCTCACACGCGTTCCATAGGCAAAACAAAAAAAAAAGAGTTATCTCTTCCTTGTACCACTTTTTAAGAACTAAGAATCTCTTCCATAAATCCGACCTGTAGACTTGCCCTAATATCTTATTGGCCAGAATTAGGTCAGTTGCTTCTTCCTCAGCTAATTACTGCCAAGGAGAATAGAATTATACCATAGCTGACTTAGAATAAATAAAATTCACCTTCTATGCTTGTAAATGGAGCCAGGTTTCCCTGAAGCCCTTGACTGCCTGAGAAAACCTGGGTTCTGTTAGCAAGGGAGCAAGGAGAACTGACTACTGTGAATATTAAGCAGATGTTAAAAATGAAGTTTCCATTAATAACCTTATGTTAGGAGATGCTTATGTTTTAAAAGCAAGATATTTAATGGCATATACAGTATTATCCAAACTATATAAACAAACAAAACCTTCAAAAACCTAAACAGAAACAAAGACTAGCAGAAAATATACCAAAACGTTAATAGCAACTATTCATGAGTAACAAATTAAGGGTACATTTTTCTTCTCCTTTTTTCATTTTTCAACTCTTCCACAATGAGCATTTGTTACTTTTATAAAGGAAAAAGTTAATAACCATTCCTTTTTAAATTAAAGATAAAGCCTAATTTCCTCAATATTTTTATTTTTCATCTTGCTGCATTGCCTCTAAATAGTATTTGCTTATCTCTGTTCACACACACCCACAGATACCTTCATGCTTCCTCTAAACCACTCCTTTAATTTAGTTACATCTTTACTTTTCAGTTTCTTTTTCTTTCTTCCTTGATTTCTATCCAAATCTTTTCCTATATTTTCTCTTCCCTAGGTTTCTGCACCCTGGTTCTTCATTTTCTCCCTTTTAGGAGCTTCAATAATTCTAGCTGAGTGTTCCTCCAGGCCTGATCATTAGAATTATCCAATGTACTAATTTCTGGGCTCTCCCTAATCCTGTGGGTGAATTGGAATTCCTAGTGATAAAGACTCAGGACTCTGTATTTTAAGCAAACACTTCAGGTAGTTCTTACGTGTAGTGGAGACTGAGAACTTCTGCATTAGCCTTTGACACCAACATTCCCTTTATCTTATCCATCAGCCATTTACTATGTGCCTACCATAATAAACATGAAACAAATCTCAACCCACTTTTCTTTGCTTAATTACTCACTGTCCTTGAAGTTGTCAAATCTTCCTCTGTCTTGGTTTTCACTACTCTTCAATAGTCTCTCCATCTACTTTTATTTTCTATTATTGCTATCCCCAAATTCGATTTTTCTCCTTAATAGACATCTTTGGCTTTGCTATTTTATTTCTTTGTTCTCTTAATCCACTCACTAATTTAAAGAGGTAGGAGAAGGAAGAGAATGTAATAATTGATTAAGATGAG